TATATCGTCTGGAATCTTCGACACGTAGGAGAAGGGGAAATTGAAGTTCCATATTTTCCTGCTCATCGTTACCTTCGACGAGCGATGCTGGCGCGAGGATAATTTAAATAGGAAATCGGAATGCCGCCGTTCTCTCTCTCACATTTTATCGCGCGACTTTATTAGACCGAAGGAAGCGGAAGCCTATGACGGAATCTGATAACTCGTAATTTGCGTAAAAACGGAATGCAAAGAAGTAGAACTGAGCTAATTTAACGAGCGGAGGATAATAAAATTTAAATCTCTGCCCGTTTCCATCTCGCTACTGTCAAATTTCTTCCCGCCGAGCGAGATGAGATTCGCTCTCCCGTCGTTGTCGAAGACTCAAATAGCACCAAGACGAGAGAGCGCGCGTTGTCTCGAGATCTAAACATAACAGTGTCGTGGCGATATATTTCACCGGAATTAAAATAAAGTACGCGCAAATTATGTACATTTTCGATATTTCTTTCGAAAATGAACGCAGAGACTTATCAGAATGTGATAACTGCACACATGACCAGCCAAAATTGTTTTTTAATCACGTATATATAAGACAAAACGAGAAAACATACGGAAGAACAATAAATAGAAATTTTTTGCTATACCAATGATTGTACTTGCAATGTTGACTTGTAGTATAACAAAAGTTATAATCTCACTTTAATTTAAGTTGAAAAATTTTACAGTTACCTACATATATAAAAGTGGAATGTTTTTGTGAAATCTATGTTTAAAAATAGTTTACAAATATCGCTGAAACACGTATATTGAGAATAACCTGCGCGCAGCTATCGACCCGAAAACGCAAACCTCTATAGAAACAGAGATAAAGAATTCAGCTACAAATATTGTATATATATATATATATATATATATATATATATATACTCAATGTTATTTTTCTATTACGTTTCTTGTAGATAACCGAAGGTTACAACTTATATTATACATTCGATTTCACGGAAATTGTAACGAGCGTTTCTATATTTCCAAAATGATTGGACGAAATGCAATCAAAAAATTCTCTTGGAATTTTGTTCCGTGCAAAAGGTAGGTGTGTGTGATTGTATATGTACGTCTGACGTATCCACAGTAAAACCGATTAAGAAGACTTATACGTACGAAAATTTAATACCAAACTTCGGTTATACCACGCACAATTGCAAAACTCTGACGCTTAACAAAACGTTTAACGAACATTAGAATTTTTGACAAATTTGTATGACCTGAATTACCAAGTCGATTGTGTTTACGGTACATATGTTTAGCGTAATATAAAAGAAACATATCCAACTCGTTGAAATCACTGCTCGTTTAGATTCGAAAATATTCGCAATTCAAGAATAGAAAAATCTGTGTCTGTTTATATGTCTGGCTGAAAATAATCTTCGATTCCCTAAACTCGTATTTTCTGAACGCTATATGCTCGTGCAATTTTCTTTGGCACTACAATATGCATCGGTTGTTTGTCTTTCTATTTTTATTAATCGAGCGGGTTGTTTGCGCTTGAGTTTATATGCGGATTATCGTATATCAGGAGTAAGACCTCAAGCTCGACGAATAGTCGATTTCGAAAACAACTTGGCACTCTTGGAGAACAGTAGTTATTTAGTACGAAGTACGAGATAGCAACGTGTGGTCAAACCAGTTTGTTTGCCAGAGTCAGACCCGGTCAATTCTCAAGGGACTGATTTCTCGGTGGCGAAGGTGGTTTTCCGGTTTTCTCACTATGACCACATCGAATATTGTATTCGTGTTACAACGTCCGTAAAGTCAATACTATAGTGCCATTTGGATAATGGAAAAGGTGGTATTGTCTTTAAAATAGACTTGGAGATTATTGTTGCTTAGAATAAGCATATTAGAATCAGGATAAAAATCTATATTGTTTTGTGAAAGGGCAGAACAAAGAGATCTTGTTTTTTTTTTCAGTAAGACCGCAATCGCGCGAGAAAGAAGTTAACGTTAATTTGGATGCAAAACTGCATATTCTCTAACGAAAATGAATAAATGTTATTTCGGTTAATCACTATCACTCTCAAAAACATTTGAGATTTTACGTAAAAATTTTATTACTACTTTTGCAGGAATATATTAGCATATTAATGCCATGTTTACCTATCCGCTAAAACGAGGTAATAACTCCATTATGTCGCATTGTACTAAATATTAAAAAGTCTCTTCTGATATGTACCGCGAGGTACATACAAGAGGGCTTTTATCTATGCAGTAATAGAATTTCGCTAATTCCATTAAAAATTAATTTGAAAGAGCCAGCAGGGTAGAAAGCCGCTTTGTAAAGTAAAGCAAAATGTATATGCTGCTGTATGGATATCATTTTAATAACTAACAAATTTTTAAATTTGAAAATCTCGAGCTGTGGAAAATGGCAAAAATAAACTTCGTGTACTATCATTATTGCACGACAGGTGTCTATTTCATTTAGTGATTAAAGAAATTACTATGACTTAAACGGATTTAATTAGATTTTTTAGGCCCGGTCTCACCAATTTTTCAACTTCAACTTTGGCTTAATTTATCTTTTGTCTCATTCTAAAACGGCTGGCACATAGAATGAGAGATGTAAGCAGTAAGACTTGAGACGTGTGAGGGAAGCGATCGATCACGAGAATGTAGCATTTTGAAATTTAAGCAACGCTGAAAATTCCAGTTGGTCGAAATTCTTGCGTCTTAAATCTTACTGTTTATAAGTTTCTTGTGTGCTACGGTTTTAGTTGAAGAAACCGGATCCAATATTAGATCTCTTCGCGTATATACATATATAATTTTTTAATTGCTTATTGTTAGCATAAAAAAGATTTTAGCCCAAATATTGGGGCAGAAGATGTATTACACATCTTCTGCCCCATGTAAATTGTATGAAACATTCGCTTTACAAGTTAACTAATTTTATAATTTAATTAGCATGTCTCATTTCCTAAATATGTAATATATGTAATATATTTAGGAAATGAGACATGCTAATTCAATTATAAAATTAGTTAACTTGTAAAGCGAATGTTTTATACAATTTACATGGGGCAGAAGATGCGTAATACATATTATTATTGTAATATTGCATACAATATTTGGGCTAAAATCTTTTTTACAAGTTAACTAATTACACACAAAATACAAAAACAAAGTTAACTAATTTTATAATGTAATTAGCATGTCTCATTTCCTAAATATGTAATATATTTAGGAAATGAGACATGCTAATTAAATTATAAAATTAGTTAACTTGTAAAGCGAATGTTTTATACAATTTACATGGGGCAGAATTGTAGATTTAGAAAATGTGTCCATTAATTGTGTCTCCAATGATGTAAGAAAAGCGTCACGATTACGCGTTAATAATGCATGGTAGTTTGGAATGGCAATTCAAAGCGGCGTTGGTCGTTATCAATATTTCACGACTTATACGACCCGCTGCGTAAAATATTTCATTACGTGGCCTTAGCTATATCAAACGCAAGGCACGTCGATAGAATGGCCGGATCGGATTAAACGAGGGCGTATTTTGGCTTTGTGCTTTGCGACACGGTAGCGGTTTGCACCGCGAAAATAAATTTGTTGCAATCGCACGCACGCGTGCACGTAGCTGCAGTCGGCTAGTTTATATCGGCCACAATTACTGCTATTAGAAGAAACTAGCTTCAGCCGTCGAAATTGCAAATATGCCACGCAACACCGAATGTAGATATGTGAGCCTGTACGTCCTACACCTGAACAAAATTTTTAACAACAATTACACTTCAATTTTCTCCGCGATGTAGTCTTTATCTTAATTATCTTGCCCTGTTTTTACATTTTTATATTTTACCCTACCTTTCATTGATTTCTTCGTTTCCAGCATAAAAGGACCAAATATAATTTACAAAATTGCTGTGACCGAAAGCCATCGGTTTTCAATGCTCCAATCTATCTTAAGTTCTTAGCGAAGTGAGGAATGTTTATCTCTACGTTTTACCTTCTCGAAAAAAGTCGATGGAAATGTTAATCTTGAAATTGTAGAGAATTCCAGTGAATAGCCATCTTCACCATCTACCGCAACGTACCGTCGCGGTCGCCGTCGTATAAAATTTAATTAGACATTTTTTTCCTCTCGATCTATATATTTATTCCCCTCTAGCGAGGAACAGTGTTACCAACCCTTTTCAAAATCGATCCTCTTTCAGGTTTGAAACTCCGTGAACAGAGAGAAGCCTGAGAGCTGCCGTGGCCTCCCCCCCTCTCCCCACGGTTTTACGTGATCCTCGAACGCGATACACCCGCCCTCTGCGGACATTGAAAACGCGGACATGAACTACGTAGCCAATGTCCACGTTTCGGAGCTAAGCGGATAACGCAGATGCGCGCGTTTTGGTTGTGTTCCGTGCTAGGTGCGTGAAATGTCGATAAAAGCAGAGTTGTGGATTTTTCGTTGAAAATAAATGAATAAGAGGTGGGAGGAAAAAACTCTTCACAAAATTTCAGCTTGTATAAAACAACCTTAACAAAATGTCGACCAGCGCTCTTGGGACTAGAGGCTTGTTTTCTGTTCTTAAGGCCAATGTCCACGATCCTCCTGTGTCCAAGTTCTAGTTTCAAGAAATGCGTAGCCAATCAGCTTGCAGCTATTCCATACAAGCTGCATGTTGATTGGCTGCGCATTTTTCGAAACTAGAACTTTGACACAGTTCTTGGATCGTGGACATTGGGCTTTACACTAGTGAACTAGTGCGATAAATCAGACGAGCATATTTTTTCCTCATTCTAGTTTACTGCACTAGTTCACCAGTGCAGGAACAGAAAAAACAAACATTATTCCTGCGTCCGTGCGTTCGAGGATCGCCGTAGAGCGCCGGGCCGCGCGCGGCACAGCGCTTCATCAGGCTTCTCTCCGACGTGAAGACTGACGCAAATTCCCCAGCTTATTGCCTCGGGTGACGCTCGGCAGAGGTCGTCAGCGGCGAGATTGTAAAAACCCGGATACCGAACGGCGCGTCTGCAGTACGTACGTACATCCGGGGGAACATAACCTCGTAGGGGAGACAGATAACCCGCTATCTACGGATGAACTGTCAATTCCGGTGCGCAGAGGGGCGTGTTTTTCGAGCGTCAGGAGAGGCCGGGGAAATTCGTGTAGACTGACCAGAGTCCGCGAATTTCCGTGAGCGTTGCACGGTGCACACGACCGCTCGGGCGCCAGAGGCTCGTTTAATATAAAGTTTACTCGGCGACCGCGCCCGTCGAGCCCGCCCGAGCCCGCGCTCGCACCTCGATCGTCCGCTGATTCATCGCCGCTGCCCTCGGACGTCCTCGCTCGGCTCGCCCTCGCCGTCGGTCGATTTGCCGAGCGTCTCGCGTGGCGCGCATCTACGTGATCGTCCTGAAGCAGGTTTTACCCTCTTACCAGTAGCGAGCGCGAAATGACGGAGGTCTACAACTTGGGTGTCGATGCCATCAGCTGTCACGCGTGGAACAGAGATCAAACCGGTACCGAATAGATGTTAGATTTAATTGGCGGACGCGATAGTCGCTAGAGTGTAAGTAGATTTAGTTAGAAGAAACGACAATCGTGCCGTTTTCGCAGAGGTTGCCGTCTGCCCGAACAACAATGAGATCCAGGTGCACAAACGTACTTCATCCGGATGGAAATTGCTCGAGACCCTGGAGGAGCATCACATGGCCGTGATGGGAATCGACTGGGCGCCGGAGACCAATCGCATAGTCACCTGTTCCGCGGACAAGAACGCCTACGTGTGGACTCAGAAAGAGGACGGCAAGTGGGATCCCGCTTGGGTTCTCCTGCGAATAAATCGCGCCGCTACCTGTGTAAAATGGTCTCCGCTAGGTACGCTTTACGCAGCTGGAGAGGGGAAACGACGACACCTTTCGTCTGTCGAGGCGGCTCTGAACCAAGCATTAATCGTTGCAGAAAATAAATTCGCCGTGGGCTCCGGAGGACGAGTTATAGCTGTTTGTTACTTCGTGTCAGAGAATAATTGGTGGTTATGTAAGCACATTAAGCGTCCGTTGAGGTCTACGGTGACCACCGTCGACTGGCATCCGAACAACAAGGTCCTGGTCGCCGGATCGACCGACTACAAGGTCCGTGTCTTCAGCGCATTTATCAGTGATATGGAGGACGCTCCCGGTACCAGCTCCTGGGGACAGAGCAATACCTTGGGGACACTGTTGGCCGAGTTTCCCAATACGCCCAGCGGAGGTAGCATTCGTATTATCTGCATTACTCGAAATGTCAAACGTACCAATGTAACTCTATTACGTCTCTCGCTTAGGTGGCTGGATACACTCGGTAGCGTTCAGCCCGTGTGGCAATAAAATCTGTTGGGTGGCGCACAACTCATCTATATGTGTCGCCGACGCCACTAAAGGGAACGCAGTCATGAGACTGTATACAGAGCATTTACCGTTTTTAAGTTGCATTTGGATAGGTTCTAATAACATTGTTACCACTGTAAGCGTTACGACCCTTGAGATCACTCTCGAGATGTCGCCCGACGGATGTTGATCGTTCTAACCGGTGACTTCGTCTCCCTCTCTCTCTCTTCCGTAGGGGCATAGCTGTATGCCAATGTTGTATTCCGTAGATGACAGTGGACAGATATATTTCGTTTCCAAGCTGGACAACACGCAAAAGAAGGAGATCGCCGGACTGTCCGCGATGCGGAAGTTCCAGTCGCTGGACCGACAAGCGAGGAACGAGACGAACGACAATGCTTTGGATAGCGTGCATCAAAATACAATCAACTGCATTCGCCGGGTGTCCGATCATGAATTTAGCACGAGCAGTTTAGACGGGCAACTTGTAGTTTGGGACTTGAAGGTAATCCCCGTCGCATGTACTTGAATGCTAACATTAACGACACGTTCTAATCGACCTTTGTCTTATCAAGCTTCTAGAGAATTCCATCGCTGGGCTCAAGATAGCGTAAGCGCGAATCTTTTTATATTGCGAAGATCAGAGATATTACATCCAATACAACGATGTATAAATGTTAAAATGAATACTATACAATTTCTCATTAATCAGTCGCCTCGTTAAATCTCTCATTTCACATCGCAATTCCTATCCCTTGAGAAGAAAATTGTCATTCGCTCTTTGTGCGGGACCCTTTGCGAAACGTCCGATAAAGCGATCTCCCGGCAAGGTAACATTTAGCTATTTACGTCGTCTACGTCATCGGATACAAGGTGTCTCGGAAATCTCAGTCTCGTCTCTAGGTAGCGTTTGTACTATTTTACCGATGTTCTATCAGGTCGATACAAGTAAGTGACTGTGAGGCCTGGTTTTTCATTTTTCAGTTAACCGTTAACTAGAAGTTAGTCGATTCTCCGTCTCTTCTCTTCTTAGATAATTCTTCTTAGATGTAAAAATAGACGGAGAGTCGACTAACCTCCGGTTAGCGGCTAGCCAGAGAATGAAAACCTGGGCCCAAGCGCCAAGTCCCGAGTGGAAAGATTTCGGCTTCTCGTAAATGTATGTACGTTCTGTGCGAAAGAAATCGAAGATGAGTTTAAAGCCTAGAAAAATAGAAAATCGATAAATTAAAGCCGTTTTATTTTCACCCAGAGTGGTCGCGTGAAACGAGAAAATCTTTAACAGTGTGGAGAATGAAGTCTTAGCTTCTTTTTTTACGCGTGCAAATATCGTTCCAATCAGCATATATACACGTGGTTTCGTAGAAAAATATGTGAAAAATGGATCAATAAGATGGCAATTGACAAGGCACGTATTTCCCGCAGAGAAATTGCAGGATAAGCGCGACTCCATTCGAGCGGTTCGCCATCGGCACGGGCAGGCGTGTAAGTGGCTGGCACACGCGCCAGGTCAGGCCGCCAGGAAGGAAGGCAGCCGATAAGTGGGGGAGAGGCAGCCGGACAAGTTCAGCAACGCGAATATCGATTCAGTCTCGCGCAAACCACCCTTACGCGCACCCTTACGCTGTGGCCGTTGCAGCGGCGGCGACGAGCGGCGCGCTCGAGCTTCGCATTTACCATGCCCGCCGCTGACACGTAAACAGAGACGTGACGGCGGCAGTCGACGCGAATATCGGGCTGTCACCTGGTGACGAGGTGATACCGCCGTCGATGTCGGTCGTTCCGCGAATTATTACGTAGCGGGTTTGTCCCGCGACTATTGATTTTCGGACGACTCGTGTTTTCCTCTCGTAAACCGAGGCGGACTCGGGAGGGGAAGAAAAAACGAATCGTCCATGTATCCGCGGTGCGACGCGAATCGAGAGAGAGCGTGAATCTCGGGCGGGCCTGCCATCATCCCCCTGAGAGCGCGCGGCGTCCTCATTCGCGTGCGTTCGCGAGGGTGAGTTCGCGCCCGAGTTCGTCACCGAGGACAACCGAGTCGAATATGACGCGGATCGTGTCGTATTACTCTTGACTACGAGGCACGGGCGCCGAGAGACGTGACAACGAGTGCGGAACGAGACGCCGCGAGCCGTCGAGTGCCTCGTCGAGGCATCATGTCTTCGATATCGGCACAGGGCGTCGTCGAGCGTGCCAGCGCCGAACTGTCCAAACGAATCAACGGCCTGGGAATACGGACGAAGCATGGTCGGTGGTGAAGCTCGAGACCCGTGCTTCTCTCCTCCGTCCGCCCTGTTCCATATACCCGTCCACCTCCTCCCCCGTTCGTAGTAACGCGCCTCGTTAAATCCGCCTCGGCTTCGATTTTTTTTTTCCTCGCGCGGCTGGGAAGGGAGTTCGCCCTCGCGGATCGGTGTCAAGTTTATCTTCCGCTTCAGCGGCTTCAACGATAAAAAATTTAAAAAAAAAAACCCCCCGGCAGCGAAGGGCTGCCGACGCCGATCCACGCGATTCTTCTCGCTCGGCGCCCTGGAGTCCCGGACCCCGGGGCCCGTTTCCCGGCTTGGTGCCGTTCCGTTCCGTTCCGTTCCGTTGTTACGTAATCGCGATGTACGATTGATCTGTTCGCGAAAGCTCGTCGCCGAATTCTTCGTCCCCTTTCGATTATCGGTGACCAAACCGCCCGTGCGACGCGACGCGTTACGTGCACGGAAACAAAACCCGCGCCCCTGCTACACGCGATATTTTTCCATAATTTATCAAGCAGCACCGCTACGTGACTCCCGCTGTCGCAATCTCAACTGCAATAGAATCGATCAACGCACACGTCCTCGTGCACGCAAAAATAGCGACGGCGGTATAAACGAAACGCTTTTAAAGCCATCTTTTATTTACTTGGCCGTTTAGCCGCACGGTATATCGTGGCCGTTCAATTTCCCCGGGCGACGTGAATTATCGAAACTTGGTCATTTGAGGCTACGAAAGGCTTAGTTAAAGTTAAAACTACCCGTGTTTTGATCCGATTCGCGTTGGTTTGTCTCTTGTAAACGCGCGCCGGCCGCGTTGCCGCGGCCACGATTGATCGCCATCGTCGACGTAAACGCTTTGCACCGGACGCATTCACGTTTAGTGATACGCGCGAATGGAAATATCAAACATCCATGGCCGGACTGGAGATTCCAATGTCGACTTAAATTAACGAAAGTAATGTTGGAGAACGTTTAGGCAATGTGAGCCGTCAGCCGTTGAAAACGATGTTTTTTTTTATACATATCGCATTGGTATTAACACATATTTTTAGTCTAAAAAACCGTTGACACACTGATAACGGAGAGCACGATGGAGTTGAACCATACGACGTGTGTACGTGCAAACACATATCATGCGGTCCCGCCATGATTTATAAGTAACATTGGCTGCATTCAGCAGAAAAAGCTTCTTTGCAACTGTTGAAAAATTCATGAATCTGGTTGGCGTATGCTCTTAAATTCATTCAAGATCAAGGGAATACGCCGGTCAGATTCACGAATTTTACAACAGTTGTAAAGCAGCTTTCTCTGCTGAACGCAGCCATGGGTCGCGTTCAGCAGAAAGAGCTACTTTGCAACTGTTGTAAAATTCGTGAATCCGATTGGCGTACGCTCTTAAATTCACTCAAGATTAAGAGAACACGCCGATTAGATTCACGAATTTTACAACAGTTACAAAGCTTTTTCTGCCGAACCCAGCCATTGACACCTTTCGATACACACTCATAATGACTGTTGCGCTATCTCATAACGTCGGATATTATGTTACGAACCGAGTATGTTTAATCGTTAATTTATTGCTGAGGAGGGTCGCTTCCGCAGACCGAAACGTACAATTGTATTCTGATATTATGTGGGTTTTTTATTTTAAAAATCTGTTAATATCAATGCGATATATATATATATATTTTTTTACACCATTTTCAACGAGTGACGGCTCATATTGCCCAAACGTTCTCTAACATTACTTTCGTTAATCTAAGTTGTTTTGTATAGGAACCTTATTTGCATTATCTATTCCAATTTCGGAACAGCGAAAGATGCGAGCCTCGGCATTCCTGACCACGGTGTAAATAACGTTGCCGCGAAATTTCAAAAAATTATTGGCCAGTTTGATCGTTCGGAAAATAATTGCAGTTTAATATTTGCTTCAAAATTTACGAGTTTACAGTTTTATTCGTTCTGTTTCCTATACAAAGTACGTATCGTACCTTGAACCCGGTAAATATTGAAAAGGTAATTTAGAATTGTTAAGGGCCGGTTCAACCTCTTAGTAAGTTAACTAGTAGTTAAATCACACGTATGTCTCTGTTTTTCCTTCAAATTAAAAGACATAATTTAACTGTTAGCTTACCAAGAGGCCCTTGGGGCCGGTTGTTTCAAACTCCTGGTAAATTAATTAATAGGTAACCCATACAGCACACAAATTATTGAATCAACATCTCAGAAACGTTCCATTACAACGTTGCAATATTGTATTAATGTTACGAAATGTATATTCAACGTTGAAAAGATATTGCAAAAATGTCTAATGTCCGTTGAATTGTAACGTCATGTAAACGTTACAATTCAACTAAACAATATATGAGAAAACGCCAATGTGGGTCACAAGGCAAGATGTGGGTAGCCCAACTTGTGATTTTTATATTTAAAAATATTAATTTATATACCGTTTCTTTCCACATTTGTTCTGCGAATTGAATGCTAAATGTAGCATCAGAAAAATGCTAAAGTGTAGCATTTTAAATATAATTACAAATCGTTTATCGATTTGAATATGTGAATTTGCTGACCCCAATAACTCCACTTGTAAGAAAACTGCGTTATGTCCGAAAATAAACCGGCGCGCAGAACAAATGTGGAAAGAAACTGTATATAAATTCACATTTTTTAATATAAAAATTACAAGTTGGGCTACCCACATCTTGCCTTGTGACCCACATTGGCGTTTTCTAATATGTTGTTTAGTTTTAGTTAGGGGTCCTTACTTTAAGTTTATTATTGTTACAATTTAACATTCAGAAAATATTGTTAAAGTATATTGAGTTAACATTGGTCGCGTTTAGCAGAATATTTTTTACAACTGTTTGAAGTGCTGAAATTGAATTATTCCACTAAAATAATAATCCAATCTTAGCTCAGACAATTTCTGACCGTTGCAAAAATATTATATACATATACATTTCATAATTATACATTTTTTAAGTATCCATTTGAGTGTCAAAATAAATAATAATAAGTTGAAGATTGTTTTAACGTTGCAGCAACCCAAGGAAAACTGAAAAGTCAAGATGACGTCAATCTGACGTCATATTGGCCAAAATATGACATCAAATTGACATCATCTTGACTTTTTATTTTCCCTGGGAATGTAAACAATTAATGTACAAACATTAGCCTAGATTCCACGTAGAAAAGATATTTATACTTCAACATTGCAACGTTTCAGCAACTTTATTTTAACTTTCTGTGCTGTATAGGTAAATCATATATGAGTCTTCGTTTTGTCTTCAAATTAAACAAAGATAGACACATAATTTAACTAAAAGCTTACCACGGGAGGTCGGAAAAACCAGCCCTTAGTGTTTATAATTATTCAACGAGTGGAAATTTATGCTGCTCGTTATTAACACACTACATAAAAGGCCTTTTGCTCTTCTAAATAATTGCTTTATGAGTTACAGAATTAAACACACAACTCGCTGCATAGTAATAATGCAGACGCGCTAAAAACTTCATAAATATAATGTCGCCATTATGTCCGTCTAGTCTGCACTTAATTGAGTCGTCATGATTGATCTTATCGCTATTCGTACGAGATAAGCCTATGCAGCGTTGCTAGAAGTAAAAATAATTTGCAAGATAAATGGCAACGGGAAATAGCGGTGCACCACGAGCCAGATAAAACGCACAAAGTTTCTTGGAAGGAAAACAAGAATCTCCAAGAGCCTTGAGTAATCTATCATGCCAGACTTCGCTAACGTAAGGAAAATTGCAGCAGAATTATGTTAATAATTATGCTAACGATATCGATTCAGAAGGCGGCGCGACGGAGAACTCCCTTCGACCGGTGAATTTTATATCGCTACATATTTCGCAGCAAAAGTATGCCAAGAGGTATTTTCGAACAAATCGAGTTACTCAAACAATCGCTGAATGCGTCTTGCCGTCTTACGTAATATTCCAAGCTCCATTCTAAATTTTATGAGCTCTTGGCTTCGTCGAGTTCAACAAACTCGTATAATATTTCGCGAAGACGAAGATTTATAAAAATACAGAGTCTGTACTTTTACGTAAATATTTCATTTCCATAAAATCCCACAAATTTTTGTCCTTTTACGCCCCCACATTCTTCTGCCCTTTGGTTTTACAAATCTTTATTTTCACAAAAATTCCCAACTGCGTATTCTTCGCCAGTCAAATCCATCCACGAGTTACAAAATCTCTCCATAAACCCTTGTATTTTTTCCGATCACCGTCCCGATCGCTATTTAATCCCGCAAGCGGGCTTTCTAGCTTGACGCGAACGAGAAATGTTGAAATTTTTCAGGAGTCAAAACGAGCGTCATGGAACGCGTGACAAACGTCTTTTGCGGCGGCAGTGGTAGCGTTGCTTATGTGAATTTGCAAAGCGCGAATAACGCGAACGCGACACCCGAGAAGCCCAGCCGAAGTGCCGCGCAGACCGTCAACAATGTGCCAGCGGGCAACAATAAGGAACGCATGAATAACGTCACCCCGAGCAGAACCAGGATACCGAGGAACAGGATGAAAATAGCCGTTCCCTTGGCCAGTGGAGGAACCGGCGGCTACGTGCCACCGGCCACGTGGGAGCAGCTCATTCAGGACGACAATTTCCTCGGGCGATTTTTTCTCTACTTTAACGCCACGGAAAGAAGAATCTTGGCTCAGGTGACGGATCGAACGAATATACGATGAAAATACATGTCTTTTTAAACAAAGCGCCTTTAGCCCAGATAGCCAGCAACTGATGCTGCTCTTTGCTAGGAATATGAATTCAATAGTACAGCTAGGATAATGTTAACATACTGTCGTAGTTAAATGCACAGCTAAAGAGAGAACACATCGAATAGGCATACTGTTAACAAAGAGTTAGCATATATGGTTTTCAATTTTCCAACAGATATAAGCATGTTACATCTATTACATCTGACCAAGCACTTAATGCTAGCAATAATGTTTGGAGCATGCAAATGTCTCATTTCCGACATCAAATGCTAGCAAACAACAGCACAATAGGCGACGTAGATGCATAGCAAGATGCTAACATTTTTCTTAGCAATGTGAAGGCAATTTGTCCTCACACTGGCTATCTGGGAGGTCCGAGCAAGATGTCGGTAGTCCAATAACTGCAATCCAAAATTCATATAACGCTTTCCACCTTGTCCCGCGCCCCGGTTTCTCCTCGGACACGACATAGTTTCATTTAGATTGGAATCGTTGTCGTCAGTAAATTCACGCATCTACATGAAACTGTGCTGTGTCCGAAAAGAAAGCGGTGTGCAGGACAAGGTGGAAAACGGTACATGAACCCACATTTTAGATTACAGTTATTGAGCTACATCGTGGTCCTGTTTAACTCTATATGTCTTTCCCTTACTTTTATAGTTTTACCTATTAATGACCTATGTAATTCTGATAGCGATGTGACTCGCAATTGTTGAAACGCACCGTTGTACACAGGTTTGCACGAGATGGAGAGATGTTCTGTATGCGAGACCGCGTCTTTGGACGGGGCTGGTGCCGGTGGTGCGATGCCGCGAGGCACGCGCTATGCAACCGAACGCGCGTACTCGACTTTACGCTTCTTTCGTCAGAAGAGGCTTCGATTCGTTAGTCCTCCTAGGTGCGACCGATGAAGATATTCCGGAATTAACACACGGTTTCCCCTTGGCCCAACGATACGTGCATTCTCTATCGTTGCGATGCTGCGCGGTAACGGACAGAGGTCTCGAAGCTCTCTTGGATCATTTGCAGGTAAATTTGACTCTCTCTCGCTGGTTGCTATACTTATAATATATACGAATTTGCATTTCGAAATTAAAGAAATGTATAAAATACCTGAATAAAATTAGAGAGACAGATATTGTGAGCAAAGGAGAATATTTGCACTCCCATTTTTATTTCGAGTAAATTAACGCGATTGAAAGAAATGTGGTTTGAGCAAGTCCTCTTAAGCTTCGCAAATTGTTCAAATTTGATATTATTTTTCTATAAACATTAAAGTAATTTATCGTATTTAAAAGGTATTTAAGATATACAATAGATATATTTGAGAAAAAGCATATTCAGTTTCTTATGTAATTTTTCTGTGGCATAAATTATTTCGAAGAAAAGAACGCGCTACTTTGCTCGGGCGAGAGATACCGTGTCGTCCAAATCAAGATTCAATTTACGGCTCGAGGTTCGACAGTTAGGAACGTAGAGTTCGTTACGGAGATTTGGAGTTTATCGCGTGATACGATACATGTCGAATGGACTTACGGCTTGCCATTATTTTTAGGCTTTGTACGAGCTTGAATTAGCCGGCTGCAACGAGATAACAGAAGCCGGCCTGTGGGCATGCCTTACCCCGAGAATAGTGTCGTTGTCTCTGTCGGATTGCATCAATGTCGCCGATGAGGCCGTCGGCGCCGTGGCTCAGCTGTTGCCGAGCCTCTACGAGTTCTCTTTGCAAGCTTATCACGTTACTGACGCTGCACTCGGTTACTTTAGTGCGAAACAAAGCAGCGCACTCAGTATCTTGAAGCTGCAATCCTGCTGGGAGCTCACAAATCACGGCGTAGTAAATATTGGTAAGAGTCGTTATCATGTCTTTGTCATTTTTATTTGTTTCGCGTATTGTTAGACTTAGTTAACTCTTCGTCTCAATTTCTCTCTTGCATTCAATATAACGGTGTAAGAATATACGGGACGTTTTAGGAAACTTAATATAAAAATATAGAGATAGTCTCTGATGGATATTGTTTTATCTATAAAAATTAAAACGAAATTAACGTCTATTGAAATAGACGATAAAACTTTATCCTCAAAGTTAAAATCTTAACTTTTCCATTAAGATCAAGCAGTGATAAGAATGAATTTTCATTACACGCGAATCATGAAATTATTCTCGAAACCGTAAACCTTTTGCTAATTGTAAATTTTAACTGCGACTTTTATTAATGACAGCAGTTAATTAGATTAGTCATAGCAATAGTCTGAAATTACAGCAGGTATACGTACGTGCTTGAAATTAAATTTAGAATTACGGAACATAGCTTTATTTAGCTTTCAAGCTGTCACCGATAGCTCAGTCTCCTCAAGTTATAGCGAGCGTGCTAGAAAATAATCGTGTGCATCTAACAAATTTATACCTTATTTAAAAGGAATCGACATTGCAAAAGTGGATTGTGTTAATAATTAAATTTTTTAAGTATTTATATTTTTGAAATTAATTTACATTAATTAAATTTATAAAATAATTGAAATAAAAGATGTAGAGAGTAAATAAAATGGTACAATTAAACATTCGCTTCAAAACCTCCATTTTAAACTTTATCTTAAAACTACTACTCAATTTATACACACGTTTTCTTAGCACAACTACTTGCACTGTAAAAAGCAAATGCCGTGCATCAAGAAATCTTTGTCCTTTACTGTTTTACAATAATATATATTTTTCCCGTATGTAATGTTGAGATATTCGAGAAATTTATATATCTGTGTTTGTTTCAGTACATTCCTTGCCCAACTTGACCGTACTATCACTTTCTGGATGCAGTAAAGTAACGGACGACGGCGTTGAATTAATCGCGGAAAACTTGCCAAGACTTCGTTCCTTAGATCTCAGCTGGTGCTCAAGGATTACTGATGCAGCCTTAGAATATATCGCCTGTGATTTGAATAATTTAGAAGAACTCACGTTAGATAGGTAAGGAATTATTGAATTGCCACTAGATTTGCAATCACATTTAACCAAGAGTCACGACAGTAAAACAGTCGCGTTTGTCTGTCATTTCATGTTTCTAACATACTCGTATAACTTATAATGTATCTTTTGTAATATTTTTCATATTGTACAGGTGTGTACACATTACTGATATTGGCGTTGGTTACATCTCCACGATGGTTTCGTTGAGTGCTTTGTTTTTGAGATGGTGTTCACAACTTAGAGATTTCGGACTTCAACACTTGTGCGTCATGAGATCTCTACAAGTGTTGTCCGTGGCAGGTAAGATCACATACCGCCTTAATTATAACTTTATGCAATATTTCTTGCGTGATAAAATTCTGTAAGCCTTGTATGACAAACAGTATGATAAAATTTAAAAAATTACTTACATTCACGCTAGAGAAACTCTACAGAATCTCTACAGATCACCTCTACAGAATGGAACTCTATAGATACTAGATTTTTTTTTCTACGTAAAAGTCAAAAGTCAAATGTCATATATAGTATAACCAAGAGAAATATACCGTTTTTGAACAAATAATATATTATTTTGATTAAATAATTTAAAAAATTTTAAAAATATATTATTTTGATTAAATAAATATACAATCTTACTACATTTAACTTGCGCAAGAGAAGTTGAGAGTTATGTAAATGTAATTACATACATATATTGATACAAGGATGTCTATTAAATAAGATTCAATTTCATATAGGTTGTCCATTGCTCACAAGTAGTGGTTTATCTAGTCTGATACAGCTTCGACACTTACACGAGTTAGAACTAACTAATTGTCCAGGAACGTCGCGAGAACTGTTTGACTATTTACGTGAACATCTACCACGTTGCCTAATCATTGAATAAACATTTGATAAGAATATCTGCGAATACAATATTCCTTTGTATACAAATGTATGTGTCAAACAAAAAGGATCGAGCAAAAACTACGAGAAACACAGATCTTAATTGAGAAAGTTCGCAGAAAGCAATATTTTGAAGGAAAGATGGGAGCAGTACAACTGTTAGGAGCAGCATAAGAAGCAACTGACGTCCAGATAATGAAGAAACACTACATTTTCCTCTAATGTAATGGTCTAAGAGAACACTAGCCCTCGATATAGTAGATATAGACATTTTTAATACATTTATGTCCCATGTAATTCTGTTGGTATTTTTTCATTCTGCCATGTAATCGTGTTACGGGCATATATACGATCGCGATTGTATCTATATTGATTAAACAAAACAGAAAGAAGACTCGTGCATGTAATGATCGTGTACAGAAATGAATTCAATATTGTACATTGGAAAAGATTGACAATGCATCAGAAAAGAGAGATCCTGAGGTGAGTCCTTCTTTTTGCCTCCTAGTAATGTAGAAAGTCCGAATAAACATATGGCAAGAGACTCAACAGTTAGAACTGTGATAAATTTATATTGTACATAATTCTAATTGGTTCGCATACATTTGAACGATTACATCATCAAACGCATTTGACGGGCGCAACAGTCGCGAAGCAGTTGGGTAGTGAATTTAGGAATACGTACCGTTTACATATAGTTGTTACTCGATTGTCACCCCCCGCCGTGAAATGCGTCTATCGAATTGTCCATTGTTCCATTCTTTGCGATTGTAGTTGCCGCAACACACTCCACACGTTGCTTGAAAGAAAGTATTTAGCAGATATATTACACGGAAGGTAACATTCCAAATCGTATTACCCGGCAACCCATTTCATAAATACATGATTCGTGTTATTTGTTTGATATGTGTGTTAATAGACAGAAAATCATGGCCCACAACTGTAGCAGTTAACGATAACGTGGTAACATCGTCATCCGTATATTATCTTCATGTATCCCTGTGCAATCAATGTTTCCTAAATTTAAGACTTTTTACTAGCTGTATTCTTTGTGGTTTCCAACCAAGTATGTATTAATGTAACACATAATTAGATATCGTATTTTAAGTGGATAATAATTTTAATAATTTATTACGTACGTCGGTATGTGTCGGTATTATATTTTTTATTGGTATACATATATATATACACACATATAATAGCCTATTTATTCGATATATACATATATCTCGAATAAATAGGCTATTAATGGCTAAATAAGTATGTCGTATTAATCAATTTAAATAAGCTCTACACGTCTGAGTTACGCATTGAGACAACAGCAATATAATGCCAAAGAAACTTTCTAATTTACGATCGTTATTCATTTAAGGCGCAAAAAGTTTTAAGAACGCTGTACAGCATAGATATATATATCATGCAATCAGTATTTTTTAAATTTAAGACTTTTCACTAACATTCTTTGCGGTTTCCAATTAAATATATATATCAATGCAATATAATGAAGCCAGATATTTTGTTAAAGAAAAGTCTGAAATTTGAGAAACATCGATTTTACAATATATTATCGTATTGCATTATGCGTCTTTCGTATTGATACGAAATTAATATAATTTTAAAAAACTTAATCTTTAAAATAAACTGTCAAAACGTATCTCATTTGACATAATGATTGTATAAATTATAATTTTGGAATATGTATATTCCGTTAAATTAAGTTATAGATAATCTTTTAAAGCAATCTAATAATCATACGCAAAGATCATTTTTACGCATTGTCACACGTTTGGCACACACATAATACCTTTGTATATACTGTACAAATTATACCTATATAATTCTGTTATCAATCAAAACTGAACGTAAAATAAATATATCTATACAAGCAAAGCTATATCGAGAATACCGAGTCACACTATGAGATGTCGCTCACAGATGCAAATGTTCAATGATGACACAATACAATGGAATGTGCTGTGAAATAAAAATTTATTGACCAGAAGTTTTTGTACTTTAATCATACACTTAGTTTGTTCAAGATCAACATATACATGATAAATTATGTGTTTTCCCACCAGGTAAGTAAACCCAAACCAGGTTCGTCAATCGATCCCTATAAAATATTGTCCCATTAATTGTTGAAATTAAAAATGACCTATATTAATAACATGACAATTTGTAAACATACATATAAGACATATGGCGCAACGTTATTAGCTTCTGGCTTCTCACTCATGTCACGAGGTGCATTAAGTGCTGATGGCAAAGGTGTTTCCGTAAAGATTTCCTTCACTACCCTGAATCGTATAACTTCCCCTGAAATTCAATATTTCAATTTCATGCCATTTATGTTTTCACATTAACGAATATGAATTCTTGCACACATTTAAGACGTATACCTGCATCCATAAATAGATCATGCGTCTGTCCATCTTCAGTCTTATATATCCAAACCCATGCCTGCTCCATTTGGTCAAAACGTGATGGATGTTGTAACTTATGAGGTGGTATGACTACATCTTCGAAAAATCCTAGTGTGACTGTAACAAAACAAAATAAAAATCATGTTCCACGTTCGGGGAAATTGCAGTGTTGATCCCATCCCATGTGTACTTAGGTTTTATAAAATATAAAATTGATTGAAGACTTTGAAAGAAGCATCATGTGAATGATAATGCGTTTCAGGAATTCATACGAGTAAGTGGAAAATAAATATTAATAACATGTATGGTAAGGAATTGAGAGAATTATACCGACTAGATATTACCATGTACACCCTCGGGACTACAGCTACGAATCTTCCCTGTTAATATCTCTTCCATCCATGGACGGAACACAATAAATCGAAATGTTGCTTTCGTGTGAGAAGCTCCGTCTCCTGGAAAAATGTAGGACTCTTCGATCTTTGTAATATCGTGTAACGTGATGCACAAGCCTACGTCCTTGTATACCTGCAATAACAGTTGTTCGATGACACAAAGTTTACATTAATTAACAAAACTGACTTACCTTATTGGCGAGCTTTCTGTTTAACTCGTCAGCAACAACGTCGTTTAACTTATGCTTAAAGCTGCTTGGTGATATTCTAACAGTATCTTTCAATTCCGCTAGCACAAACATTTTTGCTACAACAAATGTTAAACATAGGATTAATTTTTGTGTCTATAATATACATACAGAGAATTAAAACTTAATTATAAGGTAATATTAAAGAGTGATATTCTTTTAGTTTACTAACATGATACACAAGAAATTGTGGTAATACTGAAGGAGAGCCTCTCACTCACCGTTATTGATGAAAACTCACAGGATCGTATATTTTGGCCTGTAAAACACGAATCTGCAAATTAAAATCGTCGCTCTAATAAGAGAGTTATAAATTGTTCAAATCTGTCAGCTGTGGGGTTAGGATACCTGTTGTACCGACACCAACCACCGCTACACGGGAGCAGCGCAGACTAATTGTAAGTGAAATTCCGTAAGGACGTAAAACGTAAGCATAAGAAAGGCCTTCACACATAAAATTCCGTAAGGACGTAAAACGTAAGCGTAAGAAAATCAACAGATT